TAAGGTCACCTAAGGGTATCTTTGGGCAAAATATGAGCGATTTGCCAAATGGGTCGTTGACCGGCGTTTCTCGATCCTACAGTCAGCCATTCTTAAGATCTTTTAGATTTCCCTAAAACTGCTTATACAGCCCAAAAACTTGACATTTTGGCCATTGGCGTTAGAATTGAATTCCTTGGTTTTAGACCGCCCCACAACTTGCGAACTGCACATATCGACCTAACATTGAGATTATAAGGGATTAATTAATTAGTTGATTAATTAATTAATTAATTAGTTAATTTTTGTGTTTTCACGCATAAGAAAATTAATCAATTCGAGCAGCGAAGATCATGCATGTAAAAAATGGTCAATTCAACATCTGAAAATACATTGTTTGTTGATTAGAATGTTATATGTATCTTACTTACAAGGGCTTAACTTCGTATTCCCTGATCTCTTTGAAAGAAACTAGCTGACTGGAAAACTGACCAAGCTTGTATAAGAAAACAATCTATCATGTCACATTAGGTTATTAACACCTAATAAGTCTTTCCAGAACAATATTGTTTAGTTGAGAGAAAAAGAACGTTAGGAGAACAGAAAAAGAAATCCAGGAAAAGATATTGCCTTCAAGTGTTAGCAAGTGCTCCGATTCACAAAGAAATAAGCTAAACTTATTACAGCCGGTAAGAATGTTTGAAGTGACTTGTTAAACTCATCAGCATTTCGCCTTGGAGGGGGCAAATGATGAACTCGGCATCATCATTTCATGAATTGTTAGAAAGACAGTTAACAAACAAAAACGCTGACCGAGCAACAAATTCTCTTCAGTTTATCTCCCATGACATCTAGTTTGTGATATGTTTACTCAACATTAATATTCTTGTATATAGCTCCTGCGTCCTTTGGCATGGAAAAAGAAATATCATTCCTTTACGCTCACGAAAGGCACTTTTTGCGCCTTTATTGTAAATTTTTGACGAGGTAGACTTCATACCTCTCGATTACTAACGTGACAGGATGATTTAACAGTAAACTGTGCGTAGATGGCACTAAAACTGTTCATTCTTAGTGTGAAGAAAAATCTGTTCCAATACACTGTTCAAGCACACAATGCCTCATCAAAAGAATGGTTTACATCACCGTTTTAGGTTATTCAAATGCAACAGCTTTAAATGAATGCCTTATTGTTTCGTAGAGATGTAAGAAGCTAAATCATTTGCCGGTACGTTTCACAATAACTTTCGATTCCTTGGTTCGTTTGCACGTTTTCAACTAATACTTTAACAATTGAAAATACATGAAGCTTTTAAATAAATAAACTATTATTGAGCCAGCATGACATATCAACGCTTGTTATATCTTTGTTCACGGGACTATAAATTCACGTCTTGAAAATTCCCTTCGGGCTATATTACACCAAGTTGTCTCAAAGGAGTTATTTAGCTTTCCAAAGAATAAAGGAACTCCGCCTTCAGATTGGCGTCATGTTTACACGGCTATCAAGAAGCCTTGAACGAGTATTTGCTCTTGAGAACGGCATTGCTGCCATAAAACTGTCGCAAATATAGGCACTATGTGGCTTATTCGTTGATCAGCTTTAGACCTGTGAGTCATCTCAGAACAAACTAGAACGAGAAGGCTAATATTTATGCTGAACAATGGAAGAAATATTGTGTTTTGACTGCCTGACACCACGCTGATATGGGGCACTGTTTTCGTTCAGTGTAAACGAGGAACACAGCGAAGAAACACAAGCTATTTAAGGTGAGTTTCGACTCTTCGCAATTCATGGTCTTCCTCAGTCGAAACAGAACGTGCAAATTTACTTAACGATGAGATGTGCTTGAGCTTTGCTTCGACCAATTTCGACTGCATTCTCTATCAAGTGTTTTAAGTTTGTCCCAGTTAAAGTAACTTCAATAATATTAACGGGTTGAGTGCGACTCATTTGAAAGCAGTTATTCATTATCGCGGCTATGAAAGAAGCAACTTGCTAAAGAAAGCACATGGTATTTACTTTTGGGAGTGTGAATACTTTGTTTTCTCACGTGACATACATCTGAAAGTTGCACTTGAGTTCGTTGAAATCAAAGGCTTGCGAACTGGAACCAAATTTAGTCTTTTCCGTTCGAAGAAAGAAAACATCAATCGCTGCTTGTGAAAATTCAACAACTTGCGCTGTACGACTTCACTGAGTTATTCACATGGTAAAATTCCGCAAAGATGTAAACATCGATCGAATCGTGATCATCAATGCGGCATAGATGGGAGTTCGCGGTATAGATGGGGCATAGATGGGAGTTCGCGGTATAGATGGGAGTTCGCGGTATAGATGGGAGTTCGCGGTATAGATGGGAGTTCGCGGTATAGATGGGGCATAGATGGGGTTTCGCGAGAGTCATAAGTTATAATTTGCTTCATTTTTGTTTCCCTGTGTTATTGACACCGCGAATGGCATATGGATAAGAGCTTAAAGATTAAACAATGATTATCGACGTAAAAACAAACTACGAGAAAAAAGAAGAAAAAATGACTGATTCTTAACCATAAATTTGCCGAATATTGTTGACGCACGCTCGTCATTAACACCGCATTTTAATGTGTTTTCCTAATTAAATCCATTTTACGTTCTATACAATCCCTTTCTGATCAAAGAACTCACTATATCGCTAGTTATATAGCTTTATGGACACAAAGAGGCCAAGCGTATAAACGGCGATTAATTATCTCAACATAATTTACTATCTGTTTTCAACGGTTCAGTGTTTTCCATACCACTGACTGTTTTTGTTTTTCAGTATAAATGGCAAGGCATGAATATAAGCACTCTAGGCATGTCTTGGTGACAAGCGTTTGTCAAGTTTCTTCAGATAACCATCAAAGGTGGTATTCCAAAAAAAATTAAAACCGGCGAACCTCCTACAGTAGCAACAAGGGAGGTCGGTGTTGTTTATATATATTGCTCTTATTTCCGCCACAATCACTATGAAAATAAAAATCACTGGTAACTGATGATGACAAACGCTATTTTAGTTGATT